GTCAGATTTCAATTTCAACCATTCCTTTACAAACTCTCCTGGAGTAATGTCAATTAACTGTCACATCGTGTGGCTTTTTTAAAAAATTGCAAAGATGACTAGATGACCAGCGAGTCATATTATCATATTATAGTCGATATTATCCATATTCATTTTTTTTTAACTATCCAAAATTGAAACAACCTTGTATTGCTTCCTTGCTAAAAATATTGTATGTAAGTTTCTTAGCTTTTTTACAACATAATGGAATTTCGCCAAAAGTTGGGCAATGTATGTTTTTTTAAACTATACGAATAGCTAGCTGCAAAGTGTGAACAACACAGCCCATCAGCTAAATATCGTTAAACAATTGTTGACACCATTCTGGGTTGATATAGGCTAAATTTTCTTCCTGATCTCCTTCACTTTCTTCTTCATTTGTATCCTGTTTTAAAAACTTCACTTTTTCTTAATTGTGCAAAGTTTCATCTCATAAATTTTCATCACCTAAATATTTGTTAAAAATTGTGATTGCTCTCATCATTTTGGCTTCTTTGTCTACACTTACACATACTATTTAAAAATTGATGATACCAAATCTATATGGAGTATCTTCCATCATTTTTTTGATAGCAATAGGGTTGTGCTCTTCTTGTGTATCTATCAATGCCAAAATTTTAAAATTATTTTTCGCATAATAATATTGAATATTTATCAACAAACAGTTATTTTGGTGTCGAGTGGCTGCATCTATTTTAACATAAATAAATTTCAGTAACAATATTTCCTTTAGTTCAGCAAATTCATTAATCAAATTGCGTACATAATTGTGTCCGGTACTGAATCCAAGAGTTTTACCTAATTGGCTTGTAACCAACTGAAATCTTTCATCCGCAAATGTTTTTAACAAAACTCTGTTATTCACTACCATTTTAATAATTCCAATTTTAAAAGTTTTAGCACTAGCTTGATTTATTGTTCAACTACTAGCAATAACAAAAGAATCTAAAGTAACCTGTTTAGTTTTTTTGATATTTAATTCTTGTGAATGTGATAAAATAATATTGAAGATTTTCTTTGGGCCATAAGGCTCATTTCAGATTCAACAATTTTATAATCTGATAGATGTGGTTTCTCCAAATGCCGTTTCATATTGCAAACTTTTTATTTTTTTATTTGCATGGCGCATAAAATCACTTTGTCGTTTAAATTATCTGTAATCTTACATGTAACCAGTTTTTTATTTTTTTCAATTGAAAAATACTTATTAGAAACATCTCAGGATTGTTTGAGTTTGAAGCTATTTTTATAAAAAGTTATGATAATAAAGTTTTAAAGATAAGAGAGATAATAAAAAAGATAGTATAAACAAAAATAATATAAATAATATCAAAAAACTTTTTTAATATCTATATCTGTTAACTTATAAAATAATGAAAAATTTAAGACTAACCACATTATATAACTTTGTATTGTATAAGAAAACAAAATATTATCTTTACTTTAACTTAAAGTTTAAGTAACACTTATTGTTACTTTTACTTAAGAAATGTAATTACTAGAAGCACTATTAAATGTGTATTAAAAAAAAAAATCACTTTATCATTTAGCTTTTCTGTTATCTTACATGTAACCAGTTTTTTATTTTTCTCAACTGAAAAATACTTATTAGAAACATCTCAGGATTGTTTGAGTTTGAAGGTATTTTTATAAAGAGTTATAATAATAAAGTTTTAAAGATAAAAGAAATAATAAAAAAGATAATACAAAAATGATATCATTAATATCAATAAAAAAAAACGTTTAAATCTTTTTATAATTTCATTTAGAACTCACATGTTTATATCTATTTTGAAAATTTTTCAGCAAATAAATAAATGTTAAAACAAATCATGTGACTTAACACAGAGACAAAGTACTTTTTTGTAAAAATATATGAAAATTAAATACTGACTGAGTATTTAATTTTTAGTGTATAATGTAACACTGTGTATGTATTGATTCAAATAAATATTCTGTTTATTATGCTAAGTTCTGGTGTAAAATTGGATGTTCTGTTGGTGTTTCTGTATTAAATGCTTTTCGCTTGCTTTAAAGTTCCATCCCTACCATGTACCTGGTATTAACGCAGAGGTGAATAAAAATAAATAAATAAATAAAAATAAGCTAATACAAAAACATAAAAACATTAATTTTAGAAATTTGAAATTAATACAAATCAACTTTTTTTTTTTTTAACTGTTTTAATATCTATATCTGTTAACTTATAAAAAAATGAAAAATTTAAGACTAATCACATTATACAACTTTGTATTGTATTAGAAAACAAATTATTATCTTTACTTTAATTTAAAGTTTAAGTAACACTTATTGTTACTTTTACTTAACAAATCTAATTACTAAAAGAACTATTAAATGTGTATTAAAAAAAAAATAAAAAAAGAGATAACAATACAAATTCTATAATTTTAAACCAATAAGTTACAAAATTATAAATATTCCAATAAGTTACAAAATTATAAAATAATAATCTTTAAATAAAAAAATACCACATTTCACAAGTTATAAGGAAGTTATAAAAGTAATTTTTTTGTCGCGTTTTTTGACATTGTTTCAAACCACATGATCTGTGGTTTGATCTACAATTTTTTTAATGCCGTTTTTTTATTTTTATATGAGATATACATTTTTTTATTTTTATATGAGATATACATTTTTTTATTTTTATATGAGATATACATTTTTTATTTATTTATATAAGATATACATTACACATTTGTTAAAGCAATCTTTTAAATATTATTTTTCTTATTTTTACTATTTTATACATAATTTACATATTTTATACATATTACATTTGTTAAATATTTTAAGATTAAGAAAACAATCTTTTTTTTTCTTAAAATCTATTTAATATTTTTCTTAATAATTTTCTTTAAAAAAAACACATTTCACAAGTTATAAGGAAGAAAAATACCACAAGAAACACATTACACAAGTTATAAGAAAGCTTATTAGGTAATTTTTAGTCTAGAACTTCTTCCACATGAAACTCAAAAGTTTTCCATTCAAATAAATAAAAATATATTATGTATTAAGACAGTTGATTTAAATGTCATAAAAAAACTCTGTATTTTTATTTACATTTAATTAAACTATTAAACAGCTTAATAATGCCATTATTGTTTATTAAATATTTTACTATTCATACTATTATACTATTTATACTATTTTAATACTTTTAAATAGTTTAATAATGCCATTTTTGTTATGTTTTTGTTTTTTAATGTTTTTTTTTTTATGTTTTGCTTTGTATATTTAACATTACTTATATAGTAAAATTTTCTAACATATAAAATGTTTCACATAATTTTTTAATTATTTATTTTAAAACAAACAATGTCATAATGGGTTTTTTAAATATCCATTAATAATGGATGTATAAAAAGCCAATAGTAGTAAAACCCATAGGGTAGAAAATTTTTCTATATAAGTAATGTTAAATATACAAAGCAAAACATAAAAACAAAAAAAAAAACAATAAAAAACAAAAACATGACAAAAATTTAACAACTTTTAAAATCAAATAAGGTTTAGTGACTTTTATTTATTATTAAAACGATAAGAAACTTGTTATAAAATTCGACTGTAGCAAATAAAGAGATAGTGTAATAAATATTAGTATTACAGGTTATAATGCCTAAAAACCAGATTAAAAATAACATTTTTTCAAAAACGGTTTTTCAAGCATTTTAAAATGTGCAAGTTTATTTTTTTTTTGTAAAATCAAGTTGTGTTAACGTCAAAAGTAAAAACGTAAAAATATCAACATTGTTCCAAAGTCGTTCTAACCTTAATCAGACTAACGTTGGTTTTACGTAAAACAACCTACGTTGTTCCAACGTCATTTTAATGTTAACATTTAAGACGTTAGATGATAACATTAAAATGATGTTGTTCCAACGTTTGACACAAAAACCATTCATTTGTCAACAATTAACCACATACAGTCAAACGTTTTTGGCTTTTAGAACAACAAAGGAAAGTATAGTTTTAAATTTTTGCTACAACTCCGTTGTAGCAAAAGACTCATTTTTCTATTAGTTCATCATTCTACCTCCTAAAGGCTTCAAATATGATGATTCATATTTGGAGCTTTTAGGAGGTAGAATGATGTACGTTATATAGAGCTACCTCGCTCTGGAACACTTTAAATAATGAGACCATGTTTGAAAAAAGTCTTGAGGTGTTTAAAAAACATATCAAGAATTAATTTGATCCAAATTTTTCGGTTGTAAAATTCGGTTCTAAAACTTTCGGCGCAAGAAGGGATTTTGAAATTCAATCCTGCAATAAAAGTATACTTTTCGGTTCTAAATTGTTCGGTTGTAAAATATTTCAGTGATTTTTTGGATGATAAATATTTTCGGCTTTATAATGTGACACGGTAATTTGGGTATAATTTTAGTTTCAGTTCCGGTTCCGGTAAGTACAATTAAATATTTTTTTCAAGTTGGTTTTAGAATTGCCCATACAATACGGCTAATTGCAATTAACTAGTGTTTCAAAGTTTTTTATTAAATATTCACAATTACAGTACATTATTGCACGAGTTTCTCAATCTCCTTCCTAATGATGTAAAATGGGACGTACTGTTGTAACTTTAGATTTAAATGCATCTTAAAGCTAATGAAATTACAAAAGAAAAATTAAAGTTTTGTAAATTAACCTTAACAAAAATAATTCATAATTAACAAAAAAGATTATTTTGACTAAAAAACCTCAATTAAAAGCTTTAAGTAAGTATTTAAGTAAAAATTTATTTTCAATTTAAGTAAAAGTTTACGAATATCTGCGCAGATATTCGTGATATTCTAATGCAGCTGCATTAGAAATATTATATATAAATATTTATAAATATATAAAAAAGAGAAAAAAGATATTTAAAAAACATAATATTCTAATTAAAATAAAAAAGTATTATTAACAACAATATTTAACGTTAATGTTTTATTCTACAGCTGACGCCATTGTTACTTATATCGATCCTTCAGATGAAGCCTCTGATGCTGACACGTGCATCTTCACTTGCCTACAAAACGCAAAATGTTTTTCTTTAAGTTATTCGCAAACTGGGCGAGTGTGCATGATATACGATGTAAATATCAGAACTAATCAAAACTCTTTTGGCAGTAATATAAATTGGGATACATACGTATTATGAAGTTTGCATCAAACTGAATTTTTGTGATTAAATGGAGCTATAACATGTTAAACAAAAAACATAATGTATATATATATATATATATATATATATTATATATATATATATATATTAAACTTTTTGTTGAGAGTTTGAATTAAAACCCATCTTGCTCTATTCGCCATCTTGCCCCGTTTTCCTCTATATATTTAAGAAATAAATGACGTCAAGAGCTCGCTTTAAAATGATATTAATTATAATATTATATATATATATATATATAAATATATATTATGTCAATATTATTTTATTTTGTTTCTTTGAATTTAAATTTAAAAGTTATTATTTAGCAGTTATAAAACTTTAAAATTAGCGGTTTACCTTAAGCGGTTCTTAGTGTTTAACTTTAACGGTTCTTGGTTTTCTTTAAGTGTCCGCGTACTTTGTTTGTCTATTATATCGTCGCTTTGGTTTGTCTGTTATAACTGATTTTTTTTTTATATTATGGAAATAGCAAATAAATCTTTTTTTTAAATGTCTAAATAAAAATATTTATATCTATTTATGTATTTTTATACATCAACCAAAAAAGAACGCATAAAAATTAATATATACTAGCTGAGATCAGACCCGTAAAAATACGGGTCTTTGTAAGTCTATTCCAAACCGAACCTTTTAATAGTTTTTCCTTATATATCCTAGCTTTTCGAATCCGTAAAATACGGGTCTTTACCGGAACTTCTATTTCTATACATACCTATTCCACACCAATTATTTCTATATCTATTCCTTATTTACTTCAATACTTTTAAGTAAAATAATTTTGTTCTGAAAAACAGCAAAAAAGTAGATAGACTGCAAAACGCTATGGAATTGCCCACAAATTACGCAACGCTAATTTTTAAAAAAGTAGAAGATATCTTCAGTTCTTTAGGATGGCGATTTTCATTAAACTTAATGAGCTGTATAGATTTTTTATTTAAGATACAACTCTGCGAGGAAAAATTTTGATCAAATTTGTTTTCTTCAATTGTGAAATTTAGCGTTGAGCAATTTATGGAGGATTCCTTGTTTTAAAGTTTAGATAAAGGATCAAACAAAAAGTATATAAAGCCAAAAAATCATAGAGTAAAGCGCTATTTTGATGGTTATCTAAGTTGTCGTTATTGCGCACTCGGTTTTGAATGTTTAACGGGGGCGTGGAATAATAGCTGTATAACTCTAAATTTCCTTTTATTTATTTTTAAAATTAATTAATTTAATAAAATGGTTTCATTTAAATGTAAAATTAAAATTTTTAATTATGTTTAAAAAAAAAAACATACTTTTTTACCCTCCGTACTATTTTGAAAAAGTTAAGTTCGCCGCGTGGCAAGTTCAAATCATCAGCTCGTTTTATTTTTAATTTTTGTTGTCATGACCCGTAAAATATAGGTCTTGCTTATGTATTCCAAACCGACCTTTTCGATACTAAATCCTTTTTCAATATATTTGAGTAAGAGGTAGGAAAATAATTATACAAAAAGAGAAAAACTATACTCTTTGCTTTCATTTTTAAGCTATAAAAAAAAATTCTATCGTAAATAATTTTAAAAAACATGAGATGTTTATTATATATATATATATATATATATATATATATATATATATATATATATATATATATATATATATATATATATATATATATATATATATATATATGTGGAACTATGTGGAACGGACTTATGAAATATGTGGAACGGACTTACTATGAGCCGTTTAATACTGGTCATGGTAAATCTATTCCACACCGACCGAATATCAATAATTTTTAAAGAGATAAATATAAAAATCTTTGTTTTGATATAACCATAAATGTTCAAAACTTTATAACTTTAACAAACTTCTATATAAAAAAAAACAAAACAGGACAGCGGTTATTTTTTCTCTTTAATAATTTTTTTTTGAATCAGCTTATTAGGACTCTTGCCCTATTAAATTTGAAAAAAAATCATTTTTTCTTTAAAATTAACAGGGCATGTAAAATATTTTCCAATAAGATTTAAAGTTGTCCCTTTAACGCGACTTTACTGATTACTAAGCACATAAACAACTTAACCCAACGAGCATTTGTTTTTAAAAGTTACGATCTAAATGTATTTTAAATGTCTTTTAAACGTCTTTTAAACATTGATGTTTAAAAGACGTTTAAAAGACGTTTAAAACACATTTAGAACGTAACTTTTAAAAACAAATGCCCGTCGGGAAGTATTGTGATAAATGCTGAACAAATTTTTAACGGTGTAATCACGTTTTTAGAAATTTAAAAAAAATTCTCTCCGTTATGTTTATTATAGTATATAATATCTTGATAAATTTTATGCATCTAACATAGATCATCCTCGTCATATTTTAAAAATCCGGAAAATTGTTTGAATAAATTATCCGGAAAAAAACCAGAATTTGTTTTCCTTTATTTTATTTTTAATTTCACTTTTAGCTAAATTGGTTTAGTTTTTTTTGACAAATTTTCTTAATTTTTCTATGATTGATGAGTGAAAAAGCTTAAAAAACAATTATATTACAAAAAAAAACACCGTCAACCGGTTACTTTGAACTGCGGGGTAACTTTGAACACAGATTGATTTTTTTTTCTAGATGTAATTATGAGAAGTATTTATATGAAACTGTTCGACACCTAAGCATCAAAGTATCAAAAATATAAATTTTGATTATTTAAAGTTTTTTCATTTAAATTTTGATTATTTAAATTTTGATTATTTAAAGTTTTACTTTGTTTTACTGGTTTTATTGCTTCTTTAAAAGTGATTTAAATATTTCGGATATTTTTCTTCAAAAAATTAGCCAGTACACTTCGTAGACTGCTTCAGCTCGTTTAGCAGCTTGTTGTCTAAGTTATATTTTTTGTTTATAAAATTATTAAGTATGTAAAAAGTAAAGGAATTTCCAAGCCTGCTTTAGTTATTGTCTATGGGTGTAGCATAACATGTTTTGTTGTATACATTTTTTCGCATACGGTAACTTTGAATAACATTCAAAATAACCCGACAACTTAAATTGTCAGAAACGTGTAATAATTTTAAATTATATTGCATATAAACTTCTTATAATGAATGTATAATATCTACTATATATTATTCATTCATTTTATTTATACATTCATACAAATACATTCAATTTTTTAAACAAAATACTACTATATAATAATTATATAGTAGTATTTTGTTTAAAAATTGATATACGTAACTTATACAAATACACACACATACACACATTTAATAGTGTGTGTGTGTATGTATGTGTGTGTGTGCGTGGGTATATATATATATATATATATATATATATATATATATATATATATATATATATATATATATATATATATATATATATATATATGTATATATATATATATATATATATATATATATATTTACATGTATATATATATATATATATATATATATACATATACATATATATATACACACACACACACACACACACACACACACACACACATATATATATGTATATATATACTTTTTGGAGAAACTACTAATAAATTTTCAACCATATTATATAATATTTGTGTTTCCATTCTAAATTGTGTTCCATTTATCTTTAAATTTACTTTTAGCATATCATAATAGTACTATGCCACGTATGTATGTGTGTGTGTATGTGTGTGTGTGTTTATAGCTATCAATAGTGATTTGTCGTACATAAAAGCATCATATATTCATGGGATTCCGGTTGGGACTTAGTATAATAAAGCTAAAAGACTTATTCTGAAAAAACCAGGAAAACCCACAGTTTTTACGTCTATGCAGGAATTAGCAGTTGTGCAACATGTTATTGCTGTTGCTGCTTGGGGTTTTCCTTTTGATATCATGAATCTTCGTGTTTTAGGAAAGTCAATTTTGAATATTGAAGGCAGAGTTGTTCCTAAATTTAACAACAACTTTCCTGGAAGTGAATGGGCTCATAGTTTTTTAAAGCGTCACAATGCTGATCTCACTCTACGAATGAGTCAGAATATTAAAAAATGTAGGGCATCAGTTTCATGTTCTGAAATTAATAAGTTTTTTGATTATTTGAAAATTACTTTGAAGTATGATGAAGAAATACAAATTCCTTCCTGTAATGTTTTTAAATATGATGAAACAAATTTGTCAGATAATCCTGGAACTAAACTATGTATTTTTAAAAGAGGGGTGAAATATCCTGAACAGTAGTAAAAGTGCTACGTCAATCATGTTTTGTGGTTCAGCCTTTGGTTAATTGCTCCCAGCTTATGTTGTTTATAAAGCTGACCGTGTATGGACAACATGGACTGAAGGTGGACCACCTAATGTACGATTCAATCGAAGTAAGTCAGGATGGTTTAATTCTGTTTGTTTTTCTGATTGGTTTAAGACTTTGAGTTTTTGAGTTTTTGTCAGATCTGTAAAACATTTTCCAGGAACCAAAGTTCTAATTGGTGATAACCTTAGCAGTTGCTTTAGTGAAATGGTACTTAAATTAGCTAAAGAAAAAACATCTTGTTTGTTTGCTTAATTGAAAACTCTACCCATTTACTGCAACCACTTGATGTTGCATTTTTTGGTCCACTTAAAAAATATTGGAGAAAAATACTTAATGAATGGAAAATTTCGTGTTCAAAAAAAACACCGACAATTACAAAAGACAAATTTCCTTCTTTATTAAAAAAATTATATACTTATATATATTCGCCAGATCAAGAGGTAAGCAGCACTTTAGTAGCTGGTTTTAAAAAATGTGGTACTTACCCATTGAATGCAAGTATTGTCCTCAATCGTTTACCAGATGCTGATAAAAATATTGAAAGTTTTAAAAGCAACGTTAGCCAAGCTGTAGTTAATGTACTTAAGCGATTTCGTTGTGTTGATGACCAGGTAAAAGAAAAACCTAAGCGAAAAAAAAATTACAGCTGATCCTGGTAAAAGTATTTCTTCAGAGGATTTTCGAGCGACATTTAATGATGTTCCACAAGCATCGTCTTTTCTTAGTGAAACTGTTGTTTCATCTGAGTTGTCTTCTACTCCTGAACATAAAAAACTAAAGAATGAAGATTATTTTTATGCAGGTCTTATTAAAACATACACATTAAGACAAAAAAAACCATTTAGGTAAAATATTATTACATTATATTATATTATTTGA